GCCTTCAGTTTCCACTCATTTTCAAAATCTCCAGTTTACATGGGCCTCTTCAGGCCAGTCAGTATCTTCTCGGGTAAACTGTGGCAGCTTCAGCTTCCTCTGCCCTTCCTCCAGCAGCGTAGACTTTTGTCACCTACCGGAATGCCTCACTTGCAAAAGCTCTTAGAAACTTGCTTTTGTTCAGAATCTATCTAGCTTTTGTAATAGCATCATGATCATAATAAGGAATTGGCAGAAAGAGGAGGAAAATGGGTGTGGCCAGTGTGTCACCATTAATTGGATGGCTCAGCACCTGGTTTTTTTAAATGTTTGAGTGTATAAACATGGCCTTGTGTTCATTTCTCTTGTACCTGAGCAATGAGCAGCAAAGCAGCCTTAACTCTGGTTATTGCACAAACATAGGCAAAGTTAAGGGTATCCTCTGTGTCTGTGTATATTTGTACTCTGAGGGCAATGAATGCTACATGTTTCTTTTCCACTCTTTAACAAATTTAAAGAAATAAAAAACTGTCTTTGTTTTAAAATGTTCCTTTGCTTTGTGATAGTAGAAAAATGCACGAGGTGAGGAAAAAGTTTTTATGTGCTTATAGGATGTTACTGGAGGTTTCAGTCTGTACTCAGCTGGCTCCAAGGCAGAGTGGCACATGGCACAGAGCAACTGTTCAAGGTAGCAGCAAAGAGCAGAGAGCAAAAGAAGTACAGGAGCTGGGGCAGCTAGCTAGCCTTTCTCCTCTCCTTACATTGTAATGCAAATTACCTGCTCCAGAGCAGGTGCAGAACTGACACCCACAATAATCAATCACAAACTCCAGAAGCTGCCCCATGACTGGATAAGGCTTTGGAGGGACAACTAGATACAAACCATAACAAATTCCTTTAAGAATTTAAAGGATTCTTAAGTCAGAAGCACTGAAGGTGACGCAGCTGGGGTTACTGACAGACCTTGTATTCCTTCCCAAACAGCACCTTAATGAAAACCTGGCAAAGCTTACAGCCAAATTTGAGAAAGCAACAGCAGATAAACTCAAATGTCAGCAAGAAGCTGAAGTGACCGCAGGCACCATCTCCCTTGCAAACCGCCTGGTGAGTGCGTGCCTCAGCAGCCCGAGCTCTAATTATATTACAGCACTTGTCGAGTAACACAGAGGTGGGAAATAAATGAGCTCAGCTCAGCACTGTGTTGACCTGAGGTGGGTTTGGGGGGGAAGTTATTAAAATGTCCAGGGATGCAGAGACTAATTCTTGAGAAAAATATGAGTGCACATTCTGATCTGGTCAAAAGAGCTTTCTTACAGAGATGGTTGGGAAGGAAGTAAACACTGAATCTCTCAGCCCATGCAGGATATAACCATCCTATATGGATATATACTGATCAAAAGGAGCATTAAAATCAAAGCTAGAGTTTTTAGGCAACTCTAAAGATCATGTTAGTGTTGCATTTTAATAATGTCTAGGACCAGGATTAGGAAGTAAGAAAAAAGAAGAGAAACTGATTCACTCTAAGCATTGTTGAACCTGACTTTACGCGCCAGCACTTACGTTATGGATGCCACTGGCTCAAAACTATTTACCCCAAAACTTAAGAGTTTTGAAATAAAAACCATTCCACTACATTTCACAACTTTGTGAGTCAGGAATTTGGGCAGAGTTCAGCTAGCCAAGGCTTCTGCTTCACAATTGAGGCCCCTCCGTGCTATTCAGCCAGGGGCCAAGCTAATCTGCAGAGGCTGGATGACTTCCCTTATATGCTGGGCACCTTGGCAGTAGCTGGCAGGGTGAGCTTAACAGGACAGCTCTCTTTCTCCATACGGTCTCAGGTCCTCTTCCTACAGACTCATCAGCAAAGTAGTCAAACACCTCACACAGTGACCTAAGGCTCCAAAAGCAAATATTCTAAGAAACAGGAAGTGTTAAGTCCCAATCTTTTAAAGCCTGAGACCTAAAATTATCACGATGTCACTTCCACTATACTTCATTGTGTCGAAGTAGTTACAAACTCCAAGGGAGAGAGACAGACATCAGCTCTTGAGAGGAGTGTCAAGAATTTATGGCTTTTTAAAATGCCCCATGGCTTATAATTGTCATCACATCTATCAGCTGAGATCCAAGGGGGTTAGATGTGTAGCTTGATAGTTCCAGACAGTATTTGTCTGGGAGGTGCAAGGCCCTAGGTTCAAGCCCTAGCAGAAAGAAAGTGAGCACACAACTGAAAGAGAGACAGAGAAAGAGAGAGAAAGAGAGAAACAGAGAGACAGACAGACAGACACAGAGAGACAGAGAGAGAAAGATAAAGAAAGAGAGACAGTCTTTGTACCAATGGCTTTACTAATAAAGGGATATATAATTGAGTTATTTTACATTTATCCCAACTGCCTTTATTTATGTAACAAGGTCATTATTTTAATTTTGGTTGAATGAGTCACAGCCATTACTGGATAGAGCCATGCCTTAGTGAAGTTGCCCCACAAATCTATAGGTGTGGCCTTGTTTGTGGGACTAGCTATTGCTCAATTTCATGATGCTCTATTTGACTAAACCAACAGTTTGGTGCAGAGAAACATCTCCTCAAATGTGCAAGAAGTTGCCTTGATCGACCTGGCTAGCCTAGCATCCAACTCCCTGCTCATTTTCTGAAACTCAGCACAGCCTTCTGCACCTGGCAGGAGCACGTTCTGAGTTCTGTCACAACTTGGTAGAATGGTGCTCTGCTCTTGTAGACACAATACAGACCCCATAGCCACCTCTGTCACAACAAACAGAGACGCTGGGGAGATATGTGGGCCTTTCTGACCTAATCTAAAATGAGGCATGGAGTGACTGAGTTGACAAATCCCTCAGGTCTCTCCCAGCTCTGACATTACACAATCCATTGCTCAAGGAAAAAAAATACATGGCAAGTCCTAATGCAGAAACCCAGCTCCACCATGTACCCTGTAGTGCTCCATAGAAAGGTTGGCACCCTCCCCAGAAGGGTGCCACTGCCTTGTGGGCCAGGCCAGTCTGCATATGCTGCCCAGTTCATAGCTCAGTGTATACACCCAGGTCCCTATAGTACTTCTAACATTGTATCCTAATTACCATTTCTATCTCTCTGTCCACTGTGAATTATTTCATGCCCTTGATTTTGTTTATTTTCATTTCCCCGTTTGGAAATGAGCATCTGGAAAGAAGAGAGAGGTATGCAAATTTCTTGCATGTCTCACAGACCAGGCACTGTGGTTAAGTGATTAACACGCTCAATTCTATTTAATCTCCCCAACAGCCCTTTGAGGTAGGTGGTATCCATCTTCACGTGTAGAAAGCCTAAAAGCCTTCATTCAAAATCTGTCATCCTTCCCCCACCCACATAATACATAGAACAGAACAGGAACTCGTTTGCTGAAATGCTGGCTGTCCCATGGGGGCAAATCCCCATGAATAGAAAAGGCCACACAAATGACAAATGATGTCCTGGGGCCTTCTGCTAGAGAGCACGGTGTGCAGACCCAAATCTGCACCCCAAGTTGTGTGTGACACATTCTTTCTTCTCTGGCCTTTGAAATGGTAGGTTGGAGGACTCGCCTCTGAAAATGTGAGGTGGGCAGAAGCCGTGCAGAACTTCAAACAACAGGAAAGGACATTATGTGGAGACATTTTACTGATTACTGCTTTCATTTCATACCTCGGCTTCTTTACAAAAAAATACCGTCAGAGCCTCATGGATCGAACCTGGAGACCTTACCTCAGCCAGCTGGTGGTATGTACTTCCTGAATTTGTCCTGATCACATCATCCCGTGACTACCCGCAACACCACGCAGCCATGAAAACTCAAATCTTGTAGTACCCTTGTGCACATGCACTGTGCTACTTCCTGAGCACTAGCTGTTGGCTATGCACCCACATGCACTCCTCACTGCCCTGAGTTATGGCCTGCTGCCCTGTGGGCCACCAGAGGTCAGAGACTCACCCTTTACTGAGGTCCTGTGTGAGAACCCTGGTGCTCTAGCCAATTCCTATCTCCTCACTTTTCTCAAAACTGAAAACTTGAGAGACACCAAAAGAAGTCCATGTTCCTCTGAGATCAGCCTGCTCCAGAGTCAAGCAACACACGAGCATTTAGAATGTCCCCTTCCCTTGTTCTCCATTGTACTTGGTCACCAGGCCCCAAAGCTGCATAGTTTGTAACCATGGGTCAGAAAACTGCACCAATGACTTACAGACACCCTATTGAAACAGTGTTATCTTCCTGTCTTAGTTACTCTTCTCTTGTTGCTGGGACAAATACCCGAACCGAAGGGGAAAAAAAGGTTTATTCAGCTCACAGTTACTGGAGGTTTCAGTCCATGTTCAGCTGGCTCCAAAGCAGAGAAGCACATAGCAGAGAGCAACTTTTCATGGAGGCAGCAAAGAGCAACAGAGCAAGTGAGGGGTAGCAGCATCTCACACCCCTAGCTTCTCTCCCCGCCCTTACATTGTAATGCAAATTACCTACCCCAGGGCAGGTGCAGCATCCACACCCACAATAATCAGTCACAAACTCCAGAAGCTGCCCATGACTGTTTGAGGCTTTGGTGGGACACCTAGACACCAACCATAACACCCCCCGGGGAGCCCTGGTTCCCATCCTCGGGCTGTGCAGCTGTTCCTCATCATTTAATTAGGCAGACTTTACTCCCAACTCTGATGTCTACACCTCACTCTCCAACACAGTGAAGCAGGGAAATGTTAACTTCTGATGAAAGGGTATTCCACTCTGCGCTTGGACCATGCAGTCACAATAATCCCTACAATTCACTTGACATAGTCACATCATTTGCAGTCATCAGTCTTCAAATACTCACTGATGGCCAGCATGATGCTATACCCCCTCCATACGGAAAGTCCAAAGGACATTCAAGTTCAGGAGGTCTGTAGCATGCTCAAGGACCACTGAAGGAGATTAAGTTCCTAAAATTCAGCTACGAGTAGAGCCAGCAAAAAAAGTTTGCAACACATAGCAAGAAATATATTCTGAAATCCACAGGTAGTTGAATCCTTAGAAGGCAAAACTCATGCTGCATAGTGATGATTGGTTTCTCAGATGAGCTCATAAATTCCAGTTCACATGCTGATTTGCTGAATAGTGGTTTAAAAGCTTTCAGTACTAGGAAGAACACAGGTACTAGTTATTTTGTTCATCTTAAACATTTGTGGCAGAATGAAATTTCCAAAAGAATTATTAATAACAGGTCATCGGAAGTTTCACAGTAAGGAATTTTCTGGCTTTACTTGGGATTCTTGAGCATTTTTATTCCATAGACTTCTTTGGCAGTGTCTTTATGTACTTTCAGCTACTCTAGCAGAATACCTGAGACTAGTAATTTATAAAGAACAAAGACTTATTTGTCTCATAGTTGGAAGTCTGGGAACCCCACGAGCATGGCTTTGGCATCTGGTAAGAGTCTTTCTGCTATGTTATTCCATAGAAGAAAGCAAAAGGGCAAGACTGGACTGCAAAAGGAGGCCAAATGTTCCCTGCTGATAAATCAATGCTCATGACAGCTACACCTCTCCCATGAGAGAATGACAGTAATCCACTTAACCTCATATGAGACCTTACCTCTCAACACTGTCATCATGGAGATTAAAATTTTAACCCATAGATTTCAAACATGAATTTTCTGGAGTACATTCAAACCACAATAGGCTTTCTGAGAACACCTTTTAATTCCTCCTCAGAATAATTTTTTTGTATATAAGATAACAAAAAAAAAAATCAAACTATGTTTGATCCCAAAAAAAGAACCACCAAGAGGTTAATTTGCTTAACTGTGTAGTGGGAGTGATTTGCACCTTTAGTAGACAAAACTAAGGCACAGGTGAGACGGTCTGAAGAGGTTTCACTGTGGTAAATGGGCAAAACAAGCTACAGAGAGGAGAGAGACAGATGAATTGAAAGGTCTTCTGTCTGAACTTCAAAAACATGATGCTAAGAGAAAGCAACCTGACACAAAAGGTCTCATGTTGTAGGATTCCATTTGTATTAAATATCTAACTGGGAAAATCCATAGAGACAAAAAAACATACTAGTAATAGCCAGGAGCTTAGCATAGAGTGAAGCAGAGAGTGGTGGGTTTCTTTCTGGGGTGATGAAAATGTTTCAAAAGTAGAGTGAGATGATGGCTACATAACATTGTGAACACAATAAATACCACTGAATTGCATACCTCAAAATGTAAATTTTGTACCATGTAAATTTTAGTCTCATTTTTTTCTTTTAGAAAGTATATGACTCATTGATGAGAAAAGATTGCTTATGGCAAAATTAAGTGAGCTGAAAGAGGCAAAATGAAAAGACAAGGAGGTTGAAGAGACACAGAAGGGACATGGGACAGAGTTCTCAGGGCTGAGGGATTGTCAGTGGCTTCCCAGCAGGGGGATATGTAGGGGGTTTCATGTACACAGAGCTCTGGGAGTGAAATGTTTGGGTCAGGGAAAGTCAGCCTCTCCATCCATTTTCAGGCTGGTGAAAGCGAGAATGGGAAAGAGCGGTTTGAGCAGAGTGCTGCGTGGGTCCTGGTACTGGCTCACTGGGTTCGCTGGAGAAACAGAGAAATGTAGTAGGAAAATAAATGCTAACATGGTTAAAGGCATGTAGGAGGTGATTTTTTTGAAACTAAAATAATCTACAATAGAAACCTGATTTAGGGGAAGAAAGCAAAGAATAAAGAGTTGAACACATAGGCTGAAGTTCTATTGCTATTCATCCCTCCAGAAAAGAAAAGACTATCAGGACTTGAACAAAACTTGATTCTGGAAGTAATCACACAGCCAGGCACACACTGAGGGAGGTGTGATCTTGCTTTTAGAGGAGAGCATCACGTAGTGTGATGCTGTGTGTTCACCATACCTATTGAGAAAGCCTTCTTCACTAGGTTCCCATCCCAGTCACCCCAACCCTGGACCCCCTGAGGGTACTGACTGATGATGCTGTCGTGGCTGCCTGGAGGAACGAGGGCCTCCCTGCAGACCGTATGTCTGTGGAGAATGCCACCATCCTCACCAACTGTGAGCGCTGGCCGCTCATGGTGGACCCTCAGCTGCAAGGCATCAAGTGGATCAAGAACAGATACGGAGAAGATCTCCAAGTGACCCAGATTGGCCAGAAAGGGTAAGCAGCTTAGCGTCAAGCTCACCACTGGCAAAATTCATTCAGGAAAAGAGAAACAGGAGGAACAGTCATTGTGCCCTGATGTCTTATTTCTTCTCTACCACTCATTTCTTGATGTCCCTGTGATTTCTCCTGGGTATCTTTCTATTTTATCAGATGTTTTAGGAAACATCTCAATGAAAATGCCTTGTACTAGGTTTTTGTTTTTCTTTCTCATTAGAAATTGGTCACTGCTGATGTGGTCACTACAGTTCGCAAAAAATTATCATATGTTTTATAAAGAACTGACATAGAAGCTTAGAAGTTTGGGTCATAACTGTAATCCCAGCCCTTGAGCAGATGGATCTCAAATTTAAGATCAGCATGGAATATAGAGCAACACCCTGTCTCAGAAAAAAAAAAAAAAAAAAGGAGAAAGAGAAGAGGAAAGAGAGGGGGAGAGGGAAGGAGAACTGGAAGAGAATCATTTGAAGGTTTCTCAAAGAAGTGATTAAGGAGGTGGAAAACAATGAATACTAGATTTGGATCCTTCTTGCAGAGTAAATTTTATTGTGAAGTGAACACCTAGGTGTGACATGATATATTTTTATCTATATCTTCAGTCACAGAACAATCTAATCCTGGCCTTTTGCCCAAAGTTTGATTAAGATGGTCCTTTCTAGTTGGCTAAATACATTTCAGACAGAGCTTGTGTCATATTTGCTCAACGCTGTATTCCTAGTAGCTAAAACACCGCTGACATAGCACATCGTACACCTTCAGTAAATAACTGTGCAACTAATTCAGTGCTTGAATCCATTGATTAGTTGCTATTGGATGGCTTCTAGGTTTGTCATATACTGTTTGAATGTGAATGTTATTCTATATATCAAAATATGTATTTTTTGTTCGAGAGTCCCATTTCCCTTTTAATTTTATGTGTGGGGTTTTTCATGCTATATTTTATTTAGTCAAACTTGTCACCCAGACCTTCCATATACCATGTTGAGAAAACTCTTGTTCTCCAGAAAGCATTTAGATAATAATCTAATTTTTAAGTTTTCTATGGGATTTCTTTTTACTTTGAAAGTCAATCATTTTAAATATATTTTAAGGTCCTAAATGAGGTACCACTAATATTCCAATTGGTTAGCTCTTGTTCCAATATCATGTGTCAAACTTTCCATCCTTTTGTCAATTAAATAGAAATGCCATTTTACTACACTGAATTACTTTATTTTGTGGGCCTTTATTTTTTTCTATGCCTCTAATGTTATACTAGTTTTTAATTATGTGTTTCTATATTTTACAACTTTTGTTGTGGTATTTCTCATTACAAAAAATATTGTGTCATTATTGCTAGAAAGGTAGGAAAAAGGAATTATAAAAAAATGAAGAAATAAAAATGTCTGTATTTTTAACGTTCAGAAACACTGCTAACCTTCCAATATATCTTCTCAGACTTCTTTTATAGACCTGCATTGCTGAAGTTACAAAAAATATTTTAGAATTAGGCACTGTGAGTCCTGCCCTCATGAGGGACCTTGTAGGACCGATTAGTGCCTTTTCATCACTGCCTGTGTTATATTGTCTTAAGACTGACTTTGAGACTTGTAGTCAAGATCTTTATTATTATAATTATTCTTGTTTGAATTACGATTGTATTAAACTTATAAACTGATTTAGAGGAAATCAACCTATAAGCATACTTATTAAGCTGTACTTAATACTGAAAAGTTAAAAGTAATCTAGACCTTTACTAACTGGTTGATAAATATGTTAAGATGTATATATATATATATATATATATATATATATATATATGATCTAATAATCAAGCACTGACAGTGACTTTGGAAGGCTAGTTGATGGCATAGGAAAATGCTTACATTTTATGTACAGATCTAGGATACAATACAAAGGTGCTGTATGAATTCAATGGTATAAAAACAAGACCTGAAGGTGTAGTACAGTCAGCCTTCCATATCTACAAGTCCTATATAAATGGACTCAACTAACCATACATTAGAGACATTTGGGGGAAAATTGCATTATTACTGGATATGTACTTGTTCTTTTTCTTACTCCTTAAACAATAGATTACAACTATTTACATAGCATTTACATTGTCCTAAATATTATAGGTAAGAGTACTGTGATGATGTACAGAAATCAGATGCAAATATGACATTATTTTATAGGAGGGACTTAAAAATCTGTGAAGTTTGCTGTCTACAAGGTTCTGGAACCAATTCCCCATAGATACCAAAGGAGCAATAAATATTCAAATATACACAGTAAACACCAAATTGTTAATCATGCATTGAAGAATTATTGTTAATTTTTGAATTTGTTTTTGCAGTTAGTAATTTCTCCTTATCTCTAAAAATGTCAAAATCTACATAAATTCTCTTTTAGATAAAGAAGGATGGGGCCATTAAAAAAAATTTCTAATGGCTGTGTCTGCAAGTTTACCCTTGTGTCTTAGAGACCACAGTTGCCTTGGGCCTTGTTAAATTGCCTCTGAGTCAGTACCCGTCCACAGGCTGACACTGCCCACCTCCTTCTGCAGCTACCTTCAAACCCTAGAGCGTGCCCTGGAAGCTGGAGATGTAGTGCTGATCGAAAACCTGGAAGAGTCCATTGATCCTGTTCTGGGACCTCTGCTTGGGAGAGAAGTTATTAAAAAAGGACGGTAAGACTCACACATGCAGCTGCCCTTGGTGAGAGGCAGGTTCACAGCCCTGGTGAATCCTGGAGAGGTTTGTTCTTTCTAGAGTCCGCCCTCCTCAGCTCAGCTTGAGGAGCTCCCTGCAGCTGGCACACTGTCCTCCTTTCCAGCAGAGGTGATATAGCTGCTCTTGGTTTCTAAAGAAGGCTTTCTAGAATAGAGTTCACTTGTATCAGTCAATGACTTGTTGACTTCCCTCTAAAGGGCAACAGTGCACAACTGGGAAGAAGTTTCAGAAGGAAAATAATTGAAAAACAGACTTTGAAAGCATGAACATTTTATCCAAGCCAAATGTCTGAGTTCAGCGAACTTGGATTCTTATCAATTTGATGAACATCTGCAACTCCAGTCACTGGCACATGACCAGGGGTTCACAAACGTAGGGTGGAGGTGATATATGGGGAAATGAGAAGTAGAAGGGCTCTCTGCACACATGACAGTCAGTGATAAATACCAGGAGGGCATGCTTGGCTCAAGAACTGTCTTAGTCCGTTTATTTGGCTGTAACAAAATACATGAGGCAGAGTAATTTATAAAGAAAAAAGTTTACTTAGCTCAGTTTTGAAGACTGAAAATTCAAGATCAGAAGCCCCGTTTGTGAGGTCTCTGCAAGAACCTTCTGACTCCATCAAGTGAATAGTATTAGGGCAGAAGTGTATGTGAAAGAGAGAGGCCATGTAGCAAAACAGGAAACAAGGGAATGGGAAAGAATATCTCACTCTTTTATAGCAGCCCACTCTTCTCAGGAATCAATCCACTTCTATCAGACTTGACCCACTCTTGGGAGATACTAGTCACTTCCAAAGGCCATATCCCGTGGAATTACTTCCTACTATTCTGTGCCTCTTAAATGTCCACTACCTCATTACAGTTGTCCTGGAGACCAAACTACTAAGCTGCTAACAAATGACCCTTTAAGAAACAAACTCTACTGTAACCATAGCTGGCACCTTACCCATGGCCTCGGCCCTGAGCTGCCTTTCTATGTCTTTAGGTTGTGCTTATTTGTGTGTTTGTCTAATTTTAGCCATCAAAGTCACTTCCCTGTCCACCAAGAGAAAAAATAAGGCCTCTCATAGCATAAAAATATCTTTGTAAACCTACCCAATGCCCATTCCACCCAAAGTTTTACTGCCATCTGCTGGAAATTTTTCAGAGTATCCTAATCTATGCTGATTGCAATGGGAGTAACTTTTGCTAGTGCTGTACAGTACAAAGTCAAACATGGTGGCAGAAGAAAACACTCTGTATAGCCTTCTATACTCATCTTCCACATGAGAACAACAAAGGATCCCAGGGTGCATGGTAACATCACCTGAATATGGGACCATATCTTTTCAAAAATCTTGAATTCTATCCCTGAGCAAATCTTGCAAGGAGTTACCTCACCTTCTTCACATGAGCCCCTATGTTCCAGATTCATCAAAATTGGAGACAAAGAGTGTGAATATAATCCCAAGTTCCGGCTCATCCTTCACACCAAGCTGGCAAATCCCCACTATCAGCCAGAGCTCCAGGCTCAAGCCACCCTAATCAACTTCACCGTGACCAGGGATGGCCTAGAGGATCAATTGCTGGCTGCCGTGGTCAGCATGGAGAGGCCGGACCTGGAACAGCTGAAGGTATGTGAGGTGTTCATTGGGAAAGAGTAAAATATATATATTCTATAATAGACTCTGCTGGGCACAACACTCAGGGAGCAGGGCTGGGCAAACTGTTTTTCTTGGAGCCAAGGATGGAAGGCTCTATGAGATGTGGGAAGAATCTAGCCCCCATCTAGCCACCCAATAGACCAAGTCTGGCAAGGGAGGATATGTCAAACTGAAGACCAAGAGCCAGGAATGGCTGGAAGAAGGGTCACTTGCGTGGTCAAGAACAGGGCCTGGCACAAGCTATGAATCAGATGATCTCTGACCATTCATGAGCACATGCCAACAGATAGACACAGGATTAGATTCTTCAAAGGTGATTGAGGGGCCAGGGAGATGGCTTAGTAGAATAAGTGCTTCACTGGCACGTGCAAGGGCCTTCAATCCCCAGTTCTGCCAAAACAAACAAACAAACAATGGTGACCAAAATGGGTTCAGCCCTGCTAGGCTTACATCTAGTCAGCTCAGGGTATCATAACAAAGTAACATCGACTAGGGGCCTTGAACAACAGGCTTCTGTCTTCTCATAGTTCTGGAGGCCAAAAGCCTGAGACAAGGGTGTCAGCAGAGTTGGTTTTTGATGAGCCCTCTCTACTAGGCTAGCAGGTAGCCACCTTCACCTGATGGGTTTTTTTTTCAAAGTTTTATTGATAAACAGATAGCAATGAGACAGTTTCAAGTCCAATCTGAAGTACAGTTTCAACAAATAATACACTGCATATATTCTTCTTAGTGGTTAATTGCTGTACAAGAAGTGGACTTGTGATCCTATTTACAAACACCATTAGAACAAA